TACACACACACACACACACACACACACACACACACACACACACACAAGACCCTGTCTCAAGATAACATACAAAACAAAATAATAACAATAATAATAAACCCTACACAGTGGAAAAGAGCACACCAGTATTACCACAGTTTGGCAACAATAACTGAAGAAAATAGATAATTCCAGTCAAGTCTAGTTTTGTGTAACAGTGAATACAATCGGGGTTACTTACAGGAGTTGTGTGAAGGATTGCGCACAGGAGCATGGGAAACCTATGGCTACCTACACCACTGAGAGAACACTTCCCACAGCCTCTTTGATGGAGAGTTTGGCTAGTGAACTCCTCCTAGCAGCCTTTGTCTGCAGGCTTCACTCCTGGTGCCCATTAACAGTCTCTTTGGAGATGGAAAGGATTTGGGACTTCTTTCATTTTTTGTGATATAAGTTAATGTGTCCCTTCAGCTAATCACGGCAGCTGATGATTAAAGCCAGCAACGGTTCTATTAGGCCAGAACACAACATTTCATCTACAACTCTCTGCCCCTTTCTTAGTTCTTACGGTCTTCCTTCTGTGGTATCTCCTCAGCCTTGAAGAGACTGATGTAGGGATGAATGTTCAGTGTATCTGTGTAGGTCAGGGGAGGGTAGGCACGCACATGCCACTGTATGTGCGTGGAGATCAGAAGACAGTCGAGTGTGGATCCTGCCTTCAGGCTTGTTTGGGACCATATCTTTCTCTTGTTCACTGCTGCTTAGGCTGACTAGCTGACCTGTGACATCTAGAGATCTCTCCTGTCTCTGCCTCAGATCTCACTGCCAACTCATACCAGTGTCCTTGATTTTACGTAAGTCCTGGGCCTTTGGAATCAGGTGTTCATGTTTGCACTGCAAACAATTGACCCACTGAGCCATGTTTTCACCCTAGGGCAGTTTTCAGAGTGAGATTCCAGGTCAACTACAACAGGTCTACACCGCTGGACCAGTGTGTTAACCTAACAGGTTATTTGCGTCCACCTGCAGTGTGGCAAGCAGGAAGACTTGTTTGTGTGCATGTCTGAAAGTGGAGTAAAGAAAATTCTTCAGATAGAAGCAAATACCTATGCCGGGTTTGTTCTGAACCTAACCTGAATCCTAGCCAACCTTAACATAGGTCTGACTCCTGTCTCTATATTGTCCCCTATTCACTTTGTTCTTTTCCTCCTCATATTTCATGAGCACATGTATATACTGTAGTTCATACAGACATCTTTGTGCTGCCGTCGTCTCCAGTATGAAAATCTAGAGGGTATATCTGTACGACCAGTTTAGTTTCCTTTTGTACTCCTGTAATTCTCAACCAAAAACCAAACCCGCAAAGATACATCCACCAGGCACAGTGGCTTTCATATTTTAATCCTAGGATTTGGGGTGTTTAGGCAGGAAAATGGATAGTAAATGTTCAGCAACAGGCGATCCTATAGACTAGGGTACAGAGTGAGACCCAGTTAATAATGAAAGAAGGGAAGAAGAGGAGGGAGGACATAAGGGAGGGAGGGAGGGAAGGAGGGAGGGAGGTAGATAAAAGTACATGGGTAGCAGGGAGGAGAGAGGAGAAAAAGAAAACCAGATTAATAGATCCTTGATTGTTCTGGAGAACTATTACTTTTTATGAATGACCCCAAAAATCAGTTTCTATAGAATTTTATGGACACAGATTTGATTCTTTCTTCACAAGTCAATCTGGGAAAGAGTGAAGATTACAGTGAGCAATGAAGCCTTGACATTATTCAGAGTGTTTTGGAGTCTCTCAGGGTGGCTTGGTTTTGCTGGTAAAGGCATGAAGGCAGTTCCTTTCTAGGTGCTGTGACAGAACTCCCCATGAAGGCACCTTAGGGGAGGAGCTTATTCTAGCTCAGAATTCCAAGTTACTGTCCTCACTTCCGGTAAGATACAGCCAGAGGAGGTAGAAAGATATATTACATCTGCAGGCAGAAAAAAGCCACAGGTGCATGCTTTCCAGGACTCAGCTAGCTCCTCATCATGTCCAGGGCCCATCCAGTCCATGAAATGATGTCACTCTTGCTAGGCTGAGATATCCCTCATCCATCAATCAATGTAATCAAGATGGACACCCTCAGGCCTTCCCACCTGTCATAGACAGACTTTTCATTGAAACTCTTCGCCCAGGTGATTCTATACTAAGCAAGTTGACCATTAATTAAGCATTATGGCATTATGGGAAGTAAGCAGTTAATGCTTTCAAATGGGGTTCATTTCATCTGTGTGTTTGTGTGTGCCTGTGTGTGTGTTATAGTTGCATGTTTGAATTTGGTAATTAGTCTTTGCCATCCACCTTGTTGAGACTGTATCCCTCTTGCTGTTTCTGTTGTCATATGGCATCCTAGTTCATACAAGCTAAACCATGCGCTTCCTGTTAGAGACACTCCTGACAGCACATCCTACTTCACCACAGGAGTGCTGGAATTACAGGCGAGGACCACATCATCTTGCTATCAGGGATTCAGCCTGGTCCAGTTTAAGTGACAAGTGTTTTTATCTGCCAAGACCTTCATCCAGCTATTTATTAAGTATTTTGTTTAATTTATTATTTTTAGTATTATTTATTTTAGTATTTATTTAGTATTTTATAATAAATTTTAATCCATCTACATAAAATATTTTCCTATCAAATGTATCATTTTAAAAATAATTTAGTTTCTATTTTTCATTATAACTCTTGATTTCATCAATATTCAGAAGGATTTTGGCAGTTTTCATGTCTTGTTACTCTCTCCAACCCCTCCCTCCTCTGATCCGGAAATGTATTAAGACCTACAAAAAGTTGTAGTTGAATGTCAGATTGGATGGCAGTACATATAAACGTGAATACTTTTACTACTTTCTGTAAATGGAGTTAAGAAATAATGAATAGAAACTGTTTCAATGAGTATTAAATCCAACCATCACATTTTAGAGGGGAAATGTGAGAATTGAAAAATTCAGAGGGCTTGCAACCCTAGTTCGTGTGAATGTTAAGTATTTTGCTTGCTTATTTTTTGCTTTTATTTTTTTCTATCAATACACAGTCAAAAAATCTTTTACAGATTCTATGTGTTTTCAGATTCTTTGACCTGTATGTAACTATTACAGAGATAACCTATCTAGTAAAGATTAAAGGTTCCAAGGTTATGTAATTTATTGGGCAAATGGGTATCTATATTTTTAAAAAGGAAACTATCAATAATGAAAAACCAAAAGTAACACAGACTTTTCTTACAAATTAGGAGCCGGAGCACAGGTATGAGTAGTTAGTCTTTGCAGGTGACAGTCTCAAGGGGGACTGTTCCAACTGTAGAAGTCCACACTTGTATCTTCACAGCCTGTGCAGAATTGACTGCACTTACCCTGCACTGAAGAAAATACAGTAGCATTTCTTGCAAACTTGTTTCTCATGGAAGCTTTCTAGATTCCTGTTATACTAAATATTAAGTTATAGGGAAAATGCCTGGTTCTCTTAAAACAAGCAACTGCCAAACTGCTCATGGTGACTCACCTGTAATCCTATAGCCTATAGGAGGCTGAGGCAGGAGGATTACCATAAACCTGAGGCTGGTTTGGGGTATATAGTGAGTTCTAACCCAGTCTAGGCTTCATAATGAGTAACTGTCTTGAAAATAAGTAAACAAATAAGAAACCAAAAATACAATTAAGCTTTGATTTTATAGAATTTATACAGAAAGATTTCAGAGCATGATTCCTGAAACTGGTCTTTCTCTCCATTACTTCTTTGGAAATATCCTGCTCCTCACTTTTGGAATTCCCAGTCCTGCCTAAGAAAGATTCAGCAAAGCCTGGCTGTTACAATGATCTTCTCAGAGTTGGTCCTTACCTTAATTATTTAAATAAAATTCCACAAGGGACTCAGAGATCACAGATGGGAAATGCAGAAGGTGACAAGTGTCTTGCTTACCTGCTTTGCTGAACAGAGTTGAGCCATCTTAAAGCCCTGCTCAGATTTGGCAGTTTGCTGAGCCCCTGGTTATCTCCAGCTGACTGAGTCTGTCTTCTTCTCCCTTGCCTTGCAGGAACATTTTCAGATGTGTCTGTGTTCCCAGAAAGCCAAGCAGCGAAGAGGGAGGCCCAGAAAGAAACTGGTATTTCCTCTCCTTCCTGCTTTGGTCTGCTTTTAAAGTTCTGTTTGTGCCCTGCAAAAGGCCTCCTGAATGATTGTCCATTCAGAGGAGTCCCGTGCGTCCTGTATCGTTCAAAAGCCTCCTCAGTCTTGTAAATACACAGTGATTACTAAAACAGAAATTCTGGAAGTCTGTTTTGTTTCATAGGCTATATTGAAACATCACACTTTGACCAGAAAATACTTATTAAAGCAGCTCTGCTTGCCCTCCCTATCTCTGTCATGTGACCTGAGATATTTACATAATTAAAACTGACTAGAAGGGGGGGACAGCCTCTGGAGAGTTTAAAGGATTAAAATTGAGCTATTAATTTTATTACCCATTTAAGTATGATAATGGTGACGGCAAAAGGAACCCTAATTCCGAATGGGCTTCCTACCCTCACTGTTTTCTTAACTTAATAGTTCTTATTTTAAGTGTATGGATACCTCTGGGTAGCTGTGTGGTATATACATGGCAGATACCCGTGACATGGTTCCATTAGTAGATTTTCATACAGAATATATATATTTTCATAATTCTCTCCAAGTGTGGCATGTTTCTACTGTGTATTTAAAACACTTCTGAATCATATTGGTTCAGAATTGTTAAATATAATATATTAAAAGCTAACATTGATTTAGCAGGGGGAAAACAGATAAACATGTCACTGTCCAGTTCAAAGCTTTATTAATTTGTCTCCAGAATCCTCCAGTATTATTAATGGTGATCTTGTTGAAAACATGCAGCCTGCTCAGTGAGGCCGTCAATAAGATGATCCTTTTGGGTAAACTTGTGCCTCTAATTTGGGACCCAACCTTTGCTGCTAGAACACGTTTCTTTGTTCTTTGGCCTCCAACAAGACTCCATTTTGCAGTTTTCTGGGCCCTGAGTTTGTGGTTCATAGTCTAGATGCCACTCAGTGCAACTTATACTCTACCGCCAAATTCAGTCTGTGCCTGGAAGTGTGGAGGATTTTGGCAGCCAGCATCCCTGAACCTTCCCTAGTGCCTACAAGGCCTTGACCTGGTCTTTATGGCCTCCTCATGCTGGCTGCTACCTGGGTTTTGCTTTACTTTAGTTTATCCCATTGGGTATCACTATTTTAGACAAGTGGGGCTGTTTATTAGTGGATTGCTGTGTGCTTTTACAGATCTTTGCTTTCTGTTTTTTTTTTCCCTCAAATTTCTGCTGTGTTCATGTGTAGATTCTGTTTCCCCTTTTTTAGTTTGATGTGTTGGTCAATTATATCTCCTCTGAATGGCAAAGTTAGTAATGAGTAATGAATGATTCTTCTCACTTCTGAAAACACTCCAGTTTTCAAATTTCCAGATATGTATTGCATGATATTGAAATGGCATGCGAGCAAAGATTATTCTACCTCCGGGATATCTGAGAGCGGTTTACTTTGAATCCCCAATGTTCTTGACACAATTCTATAGAACTATTAGCCAGTAAGTAATTCTTTATTGAATGATAAATTTTTCTTCCTTGTTCTAAAATACATGGTGTAATGAACATCTCCTGGGGTATACAGATGTTGGTATTTATATTTTTACTTTAGTTAAGCACATGGCAGATTTATTTGAAATCTGGCTCTTGGGAAGTGCATAATTATTTAGAATCCTAGAGCAATTTGTATAATCTAATATTTGACCTCCCTTCTTGTTTTTAGTTCTTAAGAGGTCTTAGTGCTTAGAATTGAAAAAAAAAAAAGATCAAAAACCAAACATGAAACACCCCACAATGAAATACCTGTGTTTTACTTTTATCAATATCTTAAAGGTATCATGTACAAACTTAAAGAACAGTTCTTGCCCAGCCAGGTAGTGGTGGCACATGCTTTTAATCTCAACATTCAGGAGGCAGAGACGGGTGTATCTCTATGAGTTCAAGGCCAGCCTGGTATACAAGAGCTAGTTTCAGGACAGGATCCAAAACTACAGAGAAACCCTGTCTTGAAAAACAAACAAACAAGCAAACAAACAAGAAAGGATTAAATGTGCGGCTTAACTGGAAAGTTGCAGGTCACAGAAGTCTTCAAGAACACTACCAGAAATTTTAGTTCTACAGTCCCTCCTCATGGTTACTAATCAAAAAATGTACTTTTATTTAGCAGATACTACATTTAATCTCTGGCCTTCGGGTGGGAGTAGATCCCTGGTAGAACAGTTGCTGAGCAGACACAATGCCTGACGTTTGATGCCCAGTACTACGAGACCTGTTTTCAAATGTGGGCTGGTGACTTGTGCCCTCTAGGAGACTGCCACTGCTCTCCTTCCTGGGTGGCAGCAGTAGCTCAGGTGCCCTGACAGGCAGTTCTGACTCCGGCCCAGTTCTTGCTGTTCTTCTCTTTCTTCTCAAACTTGTGTCTGGGAGGAGCTCTGCGCTCCTGGATATACCGCTCTCATTTTTCTGTAAATCAGTTCCAGTATTTCAGACAGAGTTGCAAACTGCAGAACGAAAAGTCGCCAAAGGGGCTCAGTGCATACATTGATCCACTTTAAGTCAAACTATTTTTCTCCTTTAAAATTTTAATGTATTACCAGTAATTTTCAAAGAGATTTACAACACAGTAACATCGTCATTTTTTACCCTTGAGGGAATCTTTTTTTTTTTTTGAAAGGCAAAAACAATTGCATTCTTACATTCATTAAAATGTGCATGAATACAGTTATTGAGCAGAACGATGTTGGCAGAAGCTGTCTCTGCGGCTGGTCCATGAGCTTTGCTCAGGGCAGGGGTAGCGCTCTGATTCTCTGCTTTAAATCCCTCAACAGACTATTGCATGGGCTTGCTGCTTACAATGAGGAATATTGAAACGTATGCTCTTAAACCATCTAAAATCATGCAAGAAGGTTTGTCTTGGTTTGTTCTATCCATATCTTAATAACATTCCTCATTTTATTAAAAAACTAAATGGGACAGTGAGGTGATTCTGATCCCATGGCACAACAGCAAATTGAACTTTCCCATGTATCGGATTCTCTGTTTAATCGTGATTTGTTTTATATTTGCCTGTTTACATGTGACAACTACATGTATCTTTGCAGTCTTTGCCTTATTGTTTTTATTACTTCCTCCTTTTCCTCCCACCCTATTTTTTCCAAATCCACAGAGAATATTAGACTAATTATCAGAAGTATTAAAAAGAACAAACAAGGCTAAAGAGATGGCTCAACAGCTAAGACCACTGGCTGCTCTTCCAGAGGATCCAGAAATTAATATGAGAACTCACACAGTCACTTACAACTATCTTATACTCAGTCTTAGGGGATCTGATATCCTCTCATGACCTCTTTGGGCACCTGGCATGCATGTGATGTGCAGACAGACATGCAGACAACACATAAAGTAATAGAATAATATTTAAAACAAAAAACAGCAGGGTGCTAATTATGTCTTTAAAAGGACCTCAGACTCTATCGGGAAAATGTATTTTCGTCATCTAGAAATCTGAAACGTTCAAGCACATCCAGGCATGGTGAATGGTATTGTTAGGGTAAATTCAGTGGGAGCAGAGGAATTGCAAGGTCAAGGCCAGCTTGAACTACAGAGACAGATCCCATTGCAGAAGAAAAAGAAAAGAGGAGAATAAGGAGAAATAAAAATTAAAGGAGATTAGGTACAATTAGTTTTTTGGAAAGGCAAAGGAACTGTGAAAGGTAACAAGAAAATACATCTTTTAAATGGGGGAGAGGACACCTTAAAGTATTATCAAAAATTATGTGCCCTAAAGCAATAGTAAATCATTGCTTCACTGTCCTGCAGGATGGGAGTCAGGAATGAAGGCATCAGCCACATCCTGCTCCACTGGAGGCTCTAGGGAGATGCTTGCACATCACTTTTCTAGCCTGCCCCTTGCCTTGAAGATGTAGCTCTGCCTCCACAAGATGCTCTCCCTGTGTGCATTCACACCACCTTCTCTCTGAGCGCATTGCTTCTGTGGCTATATTTATCCCCAGTTTAAAAGTCCTTATGGATTAAAACCCGCTCTAGCAGTCTCATTCATCTTGATTAGTCTACAAAGGCTGCACTTTCAAGGAATAGTCTTCTTGGCACTGCAGGTTAGAACTGCAATGTGCTTTCTTTGGGGGCCCTAATACAACGCATGGCACCAGTAAGGAGAGGGAGACAAAGGCTGAGATACTTCATTCCAGTAAACCCTGGGGACAAGAATGAAACCCCATCCTCAGGTATCCCACTCAAACAGAAAGCCTGCGGCAGGCAGTGTATATTTATAAACTCCCACTAGTCCTAGTGGAGGGACTGTTGAGTCCCTTACTTCATAACTGTTCTGCACTTCAGGCAAACAGTCTTCTGTGGGTAGAGAAAGCTGTGAGAGAAAGACCTGCAGAGTGGTGGTGGGCATGTGGAAATTATGGATCACACAGGATTTAGGGAGGAAAAATGAAAGGTGTGAACACCAGCGTCTGGGGTCGGACCCGTGAGAGTAATGGCTCATGGCACTCAAAGGTCAGTATGAAAGCATGGAAGCCAACTGTGCTAATGACCCCCACGGCAAGTTACAAACCAAGAGCAGGCTTGGATGGGAGAGATGGTTCAGTAGCTAAGAGTATTCACTGCCTTGGAGGGGACTAGGGATCAGTTCCCAGCACTGAAGTCAGGGCACTCACAATGACCTGGAACTCTAGCTCTTCTTTGGCTTTCATAGGCAAGTGCACATCTTAAATATGTGTTTTTTATAACTCAGTCATTGACCATTTCTCAGATATCATTTTTTATTCATTTTTTTATTGGTTTGATTTGTAAGATCTGAAATCAAGATGAGTTTTCCATGAGTGCTATAACAAATACAAAAAAAAAGAGAATTTTATTTGCTCAGATTTCTGATTATGTCTGTGGAAATTAAGAAAAAAATATATTTTGAAAGATGCTGTTTCTCAAACATGGTCTGATTCTGAGATTGTGACCAAAAAAATAGGAAGTTTTGAAAGGACCCGAGTGAGCCCATCCATATC